TGCTATGTTCCTTCTCCAATACTCCCACTATCCTATCGTTCAGCAGCTTACAGAACACTTTTCCTACTGTGTTCAACAGTGTGATCCCCCTGTAGTTTCCTGGGTCAGTCTTGTCTCCTTCCTTAAACAAATTCACTACCACCCCTTCCTTCCATCTACTTGGCGTATACTCGTTTTTCACACCCAATTGTATAGCAGTACCATCAGCTGGATCATCCCCTTCCCCCCAAACTTCATGAACTCGTTGACTATCCCATCCGCCGCTCCTGCTGCTTTGTGGCACTTCAGCTTGTTCACACACGCCTCAACCTCGTCCTCAGTGGACTCCTTTTCTAGTTCTACGTTCCCAACGTCTGCCTTCGATGTCACTTGTTCTGTCTGGGCTCATGCGTCCACCTCTTCTTAAACACTTGGTCAAAAGCTTCATTCTCCGAGGGCACTCCAAGTCTCNTTCCTCCTTTTTGGGCCCATGCGCCCACCTCCTTCTTAAACACTTGGTCAAAAGCTTCATTCTCCGAGGGCACTCCAAGTCTCTTGTAGTGTCCTGCTAGAACTTCCCTTTTTCCCTTCCCACTGCTGACTAATCCACCGTTCACACCTCGCAAAGTTGCTACCCCTATATCCCCCCCTTGTGCGGTCTTTTTTACCATTCCACTAATCCCTTCCCACATCTGCTTGACGTTCCCCTCCAGGCCTCTGTTGGCCTTCTGCACTACTTCGTCCCAAATACACTTTTTCTTCTTTTTCACTAGTCCCTTCACCTGTTTCCTATTGGCCCTGTACTTTTCCCAACTCTCCTCAGACGCCTCACTCAGGTACTGCTTGAAGACTTCTCTATGTTCCCCTATCTCTTCTTTCAGCTCGTCATCCCACCACTTAACCGATACCCTACATCGCACCACCTTCTTTCCCATTACTCGCTCTGCCGTGGCGTTCACGATGGACTCCCACCCTTCGGGGGGAAGCAAATAGATGCTTGGACGAGGGAAGTATGCAATGCACGAAGAAGCAAAAAGGAGCTGGAACGACCACAAAACCAAACAGCAAGGAAACAAAACTGAACAATCAGAGGGGACGGGGGGGGACAGAGTATTCCAAAGAAAAGGGGGGCAACCGCAGCCAAAGTATGCCGGGGGGGAACACCACAAACAGGACTCAGACCCGCAGTTTGAATCCTGTCCTCGTTGTCTCTCTTCACAACACAAACCGGTCCGGTCTTCGCTCAGCGCCTTCAATTGACGCGGACGCCTTCCGTTGTGCACAGGCACATCACACAACTACTAGAAAAAACTTCATTCTTTGAGAATCATAGGCACTCAGCTAATAGAATCCCGACCGAGCGCTTGTATTTTCTCTCCCTTCACCTGGATAGACTCCACCGGAAAATCCTCGTGATCCCCCAGCAGCCCCAGGAATTTATCTGGCTGAATGCTTACCACCCTGGTTGGCGCATCACCGCACCAAATAAATTTTGGGGTGTGTGTGGCGGGGGACGTAGGGGCGGGGGGAATGCGGGGTGAAATCGTAAATCCATCAGCAGCTTGACTCCTGAGATTG